AGAAAAAGGTTTTTTTACTATATATTACAATGAAGGATGTTGTAGCTCTCTTAATTACCTTTACAATGGTTTTTTATAGCTCACTGAACTTTTTTTGTAAAATACTCGAGAACTGTTGCAATTTTTCGAGTTTTTCAGGTTCAATCTTTCGGACGTTACCTCTTTTACAGGGCCTAAAATTCAATGCTCTCTTTTTTAGTAAAATGTATCTCCAATAAAAAAATAGTTATGAATTTGTTTCGTATTAAGCTGCGTGAGCAAGGATTTCATCTATAAAAGTCTTAGCGTCCAAAATTATGTAGGTACTGGAATAAAAAATAAAGGATACCACTTGCTTTGTATATATATATATATATATATGTGTGTGTATATATATGATATTTATACACTGATCAGTCTAACTAAATGTTTACCAGATTGACTTCCACATACAATTCATAACTGTTTATACATAAAATAATGGTGCGCAACATTAATATTTCTTAAACATGTAAGTTTAATGAGTTAATCGCAATTCTATTTTATGTAGGTACTATGATTTGTAATACTTACATCTATTACAATACTTTTTGTTCGTGATTGAGTATAACATGTAATGCATATTGTGATTTAAAAGTTTTAATTTCTCTATTTAATAATTGTTTTACAAGATGATGCAAGACAAGGTATGTGATACTGGAAACAGTCACATGTGGCACGGCGAGATAGTCGAGATAACAATAAAATTGACGGATAGACACAATCAATATTATAATATATAGTATTTTATTACACGTAAATCACTCAAAAAATAATTCGCTACATAGAGATCCAGGTCTTACCCGGTCGTTCAATATAAACTTTGCTATGCTTGCAAACTGAAAATCGGCAAATAAATAACTAAAAGGAATACCTACGATGTTCGATAATAAATAAAATCTCTGTGTTTATTTTTATATATACAATAGACATTTTCCAAAAACATTTCAAAACCACAGTTCTGAGAATAATAAGATTATAGACATAAATGCATCACATATTTAAAAAATCCAAACCTTAAATTTATTTAAATAAAACTACTTTTAACCGGTTAATGCACGAATTTTATTTATTTATTGACGTTTCGCAGCTTTTTTAGGTCTGCATCGTCAGAATAATGATTTTTATTTACTTTGTCGAGCTACCTTCGAAAGACTTTTATTGAGCGTTCGGATATTTAATTTGAAGATTTTTATGAATGATGAATTTATTTGTTAATTTAGTTAATAAAGTACTTTATTTAAAATTCTTTTTTGTAATTTTGAGTTTATTTATTTGAACCTAACTACCGTAAACTACCACCGGTTCCAAAATTGGGAGACCTTTCTGAGAAGAACCGGCAAAACAAACTCAGAAAGGCTTTCTATCTCCTTCTTAGGTTAAATTATCCAAACAAAAAGGACTAATAGTATCTGTTGGTCTTGCAGTGTATGCATGGGTTGGGATTTTATCTCTTGTATAATGGGTTCCCAAGCCGGCGGTACACACCAACCATCTTCCCTATTGTACCGCCGGCGCGTGGTGTGTACCGCCGCGGCGCCGGCTTGGGACTACTCTGACGATGCAGACCTAAAAAGGCTGCGAAACGTCAATAAATAAATAAACTTCGTGCAATAACCCGTTGAAACTAGTTTTATTTAATGAGTGATGTGCGTGAAAACCTAAGAAACAAGTACTTAAATTTATTTGTTTAGGTTTAATATTATAATATAATATATATTTATCTCTGTCGGATCTTTTATATAAAGTTAAATATAACATTTAAATTTAATATATAATAAATATATAATAATATTAAAGCTTAACATTAACAATAAATAGAATTCAAACAGCTTCGCCATTTTTTGAATGAAATTTCGATAGATTTTCAATTTGTTAGATATGCCTTCACCATAAGTTTGCTATTGAAGAGTTCCTTTTTTTAGCCACAAAATGCGGCTTGTTTTACTGTTTGCCGAGCAGTTCAATTATAACTTATTAAACATGTAGTTTAACTACCAATGCTGCTAAGTAAGTAGGACTTGAGAATGTAAAGTGGATTCTTTTTAAACGTTGACACTTACAAGAAAGTTGTCGTCATACGATGTTATTAAAAGTAATGCTATTAACGACTTTTGTGTGAAAAGCGAAAAAAAAATACATTCATTACTTATTATAGAGCAGCATTTGTTTTCGCTAGAGATATGTCCTTAGGTTGATAAATATATCAACTAAATCAAATTAAGAAAAATAATTATGTTTATTTGTTGAAGAAGAAGAAGGCTTTGGCAGAAGGCATTTTTAATGAGAGCTTAATTTTTTTTTATTTAAACTTGGATTGTGGTTTGAAGACAGGTACTACATCTTTGTTCAATACCGCGCTAGACAACATTCAACTTATTTTGCATTGACCCCCCAATGAAGAACTTACTTCTTAAGTTGGTATGGATATAAAAAACATTTTTATATGGTACTAAATATGATTAGGTGATTGTAAGTACCTCTATATATAAGATATGTTGCATTACATACAATCATCTCCTCCACATACACTCATCAAAAGAGTCTAAGCAACATAGCATCACTTACGCCAACTGCAAGTTTCTTCAGTTAATATTTTATATTATCATTAAGAAATGTATAATTTATTCAAAGATTTTTTCTTTAATCACTAATAAATTAAATTTGTTATTATTAATAAAAGAATATAAGTATTAAGAATATAAAAATCAGTCAAAGTTCATGTTACTTAGACTCTACTGATGTGCATTTAATGAAAATTTTCACTTTTTTAAGTGATTAAACTGATATAAAACTCAATTGTAATCGATAAATATACCGAGAAGATTAAAACATAGATTATTATTTATAAATATACATTATAATATTAAAAATCAGATAACACTTTCAGTATTAGACACGTAAGGTAGGTAAACGGGTTTTACAAAAATTGTATAAAAGTTATAGTACACGGTATAACGTGGGATAATGTTTCGTCTGCCCGAGTATCTAATAAGTATGCTATTGGTGTTATCCGAAAGTTTTGAATAAACAAAACAAAGAGTAGGTTATTATTTTCTCTTATATTCATAAAAGGATTGATTCATTTATTTCAGTTATGATTAAAACTTGAAGTGAATACTAGTCTTTGTAATTCAAGTTTTTTGGTCATTTCTTAGTTTGTTATTTTGTAATAAGATCGTGAGCAATGACAGTCATCAGTGGTCAGAAACTTGTACTTTTAGATATCATAAATGTTAAATTACTATGTCAATATTACGTAGAAATTATTATATTAATTTGGAATAAGTATTTTACCGAATCGCAAATTAGGCCGACTTGTTCTAATATTTATAATGTTAATTACAAATAAAAGCAGAAAGCAGTGATAGAACAATTTCATTTAACATCTCGGTATCTTTTTCACTAGCTTAAAATCATAATTAAATGACAATAAACTTTTTAAGGATATAAAAAAATATTGAAAATTGATTGTTAGGTGTTTGTTTTTACCCTTGTTGCCGGATCCAAGACTACGTTACCCTGATATATTAATCTACGATTGATTTTGACGTAGAGATTCAATTTGAAATTTGAAGTTGTAAAGTGCACTGGGAGATCAGCCTAAATTTTATATTTGTCTTTCTTTTTACTAAGTAATTAATTTTCAAAGACATTTGTGTAATAAAATAAAAACTATAAATGCTATTTCGGTAAAAACGCATGGACAGTTTCGATCTTACGGTTAGCCGCATGCCTAAGCAGCTTCTCCTCTTAATTAGGTTCTAGTCACCCATCCCCTTTATGAATAAATAGGAGTAAGCTTAGACTAGTTACGTTGTGTTTTGTTCGTCACTCAAATGTCATTTGTTATTCAAAAGACAGAGACAAAACATGAAGTAACTAAACCAAGTGTAGTCTTCGTTTATTAATAAGGGGGCTATGGTTTAGTCACATAGCCATTTTACACAGTCCATTGTTGCTAGCAAATCGTATCGCTGGTTTAGTTTCGATCACTCGACCACGACGTAAGCGCGCCAATTGACGTTCTCCATATCCCAATAAATTGACTACATAATGTTTCCGGATATTTAAAAATAATAATTATGAATTAATATAAACTAAGTGGATATGATTGATATTTAAGGTGAGACAAAAATATTGTCTCTCGAGCGTCCATTGCCAATAAACAGTGAGAATTATACTGTACCTTCAATAAAAAATATGTATGTATACATTTTAGTGAAGTATAGTAAATTGTAGATATTTTTTAAAATATAATACAGGCTGTTTCTTTTAGTGTCATGCCAGTGCGAGCTGATAGCGGAGTACCATACCTATCAATTTAACCCCCATGTATGTTCTACGATTTTTCGTAGTTTTCGAGTTAGATTTTTTTTCGTTATTTTTTAAGTTCAACGATGAGACCAATTTGAAAAAGTATAACTTCTGTTTAGGTCGATTTTTCTTCGTGATTTTTATTTAACAGAATGCCTATTAAATGATAGGTATGGTACTCCGCTATCAGCTCGCACTGGCTTGATACCCTAAAAGAAACACCCTGTATTTTAAAATTTAATTCTTTGTCGTCTTTATTAAAATTTATATCGCAGTAACATCATTAATTTAATTATAATTCATGCACTGGTGATACACCGTCTAATAAGTTCATGTTACAAGATCTTGCTTTATTTTGAAAGCTAAATGTGTCTAGAACATTTTATGGGGGATTGTTTGTCACTAAAACTACGTCTGTAACTTCAATAAATACGTTAACAATTTGAAGGTGCATTGTTTTTCATATGGACATATTACAGTTGGCTTTTGTGTATCAATGTCGAGTAAGAGATTCCGTATTATTTATTATTTGTAGCAAGTAATATTTTGTGCTATCTAGAACGCTTAACTATAAGTTAAGTGTGATCACTGCAAATTATATTAAATATTAGAGTAACATTAAACGAAATCAATTACCTTATAGTTAAATTTTTAAAGAAAGTATCGTGGTGGATGGTTGTAAGTAAAATCCTGAGATAATAAATATTTTTCACTAAATTGAGAAATAGGGTTACAATTCACAAGCAAACTTAATCGTTGTATATTCTTCACGTATACATACACTTTTCTAAAGCGAACAGTTATGATCCGTTCTAAATATGTAAGTATTTTATACATATACCGTGTAACGGTCGAATGAGAGCGGCAATAAAAATGCCGTTTTGACTTTGCGACATTAACGCACTAGTTATTTAGTAATAATTTAATCAAATCAATGTTTTGCGACCACGATCACGGCGCACACGCCGTTTTCTTTGATAATACACCACCGGTAGCAATGTGCGTTTGGTGTATAAGTATGACTGCGCCTTCCGTTTTCATTCTTTTCTTAACGGACCTCGTTCGGAAGGGTCAAAAGGGCATGTTTATGTCCGCTCTAAATCATCGGAAACAGAAAGGAGATGAATAAGACGAAAAGGATCAGTCGCCATGGCTGGAGGGCGCGCGCCGGCGGCTGGCCTAGCGGTTACTCCTTGGGTTGGGGTTTCACTAGCTCACATTTCCCAGGGGTGGCTGGGGTCGGCTCTTCGGAGAACAGGGGGTTCTTCACTTCCATATCACCAGTCTGCAAAAGAACGTACCTACCTGTTTTACACATCCACAACAAATAACACTTCTAGTGGCTGCATTAAGTTGCCGCCACTAGTGGTTCAATGTGCGCTTGTTCTTAATAAAATATATTTTGAACGGAGTAATAATTGGTATTTATAAGGATTTATTGACTAGGCATTATCAAGGAAACTGATCCAGTCGGGATTTCCAAATTTGCATCGATGCAGGTTAACAAGATTTATTGAAAAACTTTAGGTATCATTTTAAACAGTAAAATTAAGTGATTACGGTAGCGAATCCAGGGCACTCGTAGACGGTGTAATCGCCTTCCTCATTTTCTTCTTCGGACTCGGGTTCAGATATGGACCCGTTGCGTTGCTCCATGCCATTCCTGGATAGTGATAAATAATTTCATTTCAAAATTATGATTTAACAAAATCATAAATGAGTGAATTTTGGTGGTAATTTTCTTTTATATATTTATAAGCGTTAAGTATTATACAATATTGTGGAAAAATACGTATTTTATACATAAAATATAAGAACAATTTATTTATTAGTGTTGTCATATTATCGACACCTAAATTTTTTGTTTATTGATAATTTTTCAGACCAATTAAAATCAGAACTGTAACATTTTAAACGGATGATAATATACAAAAAAGAGGAAAATTTTGAGGTGATTGAGGGTACGTACAGGGTTGAACTTTTTAGTGTTAAAAACGGCTTTTGGTGATTTCCAGGAAAACTACAACTCATATAAAAAAAGAGATCTACAACTTTTTACATTTTTTGCACAAAATCTAAAAATATCTGCGAATAATCAATATACCGGCCTTTTTGTTTTTTTTTTTATCTATCACAATAAAACTTTGCTTCTTTATTCCAACTGTTTGGGTGTGCAAGTAAAAATTTGTAAGACAAGTTGAATTGTAATCCCATTTCGATTTATTTCTTTAAAAGCCTATGAAATTGATTCAATGTCATACGATTCAGATCGTATATCGATTAACACGATCTCTATTTAAAAGATTGATTCAATGGATTAAAGTAATCGGGCATCTCTATTTAAAATTCAATCTCAACTCTATCGTGCCCTTTATATTCTTTCCAAAATTCATTAATATAGTGGTTTAGGTGTGAATGCATAACAAAAAGAAAGTCAGACGGACATAAGTTACTTTAAAATTTATTAAAAATCTAGTACTTTTATCGACAACTCGTAAATCTTTTCCAAGAACTGGTTCCGTTGAAATTGGATAAAGTTAAATCGACTTTATCTCAAGCGTTGGCGGGCAACTGTTCAATTCGGCGTGTCAAGAAACTGTTTAATTCCAACTAAGAGCAGTAAACTTGCATGCAATCCAGTCGAAAGCGTCCTCATCTCGCTACATAGTTTGAGTTAGTATTCGAGAAATGTCCGATTAGGTAGGTACGTCTGCTTGCAAACAGTACCTGTGAGCCTGTGTACTAGATTACACAGAATATCCGTATTCCGTGCAGTCTGTAGTGTTTGTTTTTGGACAGGGCATTGCTGTACCTCTGACACTGACATTCATACTACTGACATGTAGGACAGCTGTTTTGTCTATGATATCGAACCGCTTGATGTCAACGTAACTGTCAAACTTTATTGGTTGATATATTATTTATTTTTTAAGCATTCAACTGCTAGATATTTATATCTAAAGAAACTATTACTAGAAAAAAAAAACACGTGGACCAGGCAGCAGACGGGACTCGAACCTAGGAATTCTATCCATCCACACATCATTCTTGTTACTCAATTCCCCCTATCCAAAAGATACGGCCCTACCTTGCAAGATTCCAGGATAATCTACATACGATACGGAAGACCAATATATTTTAATATATTTTTTATTTTTCATGGCCATAACTTGCCAAATAAGTAGAGAAGGAAGTTAAGACAATTTTACCTTTCGGTATATTTTCACATTAATTAACAGTTCGGTTAGCGTTCTCACTCTATGTCTGCCAATATCCACCAGGACACAAACTGATTTGGCTCTAATTATTCAGTATAATCGCTGTAAAATCTGTTCTTGTTTCCAAAATACGGGGACAAACGGAACTTGATTTAGAAAGGACATCGACGAAATCGGCCCTAGCATGCCCAAAAGAATGTCCTTCACTATTATCTTTCTATTATTTTTTTAACTTATTAGCAATTAATCATAGTAAACGGACAATCTGTTTAAAAAAATAAAGTTCTGTTACTAGATACTACAGTCTATTCATCCAACTTGGCACTCCTTTTTATTGAAAAAAACAGCATTAAAAATCAACTGATAACTGGATTCAAAAGGATTCAGTCTATAATAACGATTTATTTTAATAGTTTATTGGCTTCGTTAATATTTTATTATTAAATGGGTGATTCTGTTAAAAAGTTGTGCCAAGATTGTTTACCTTAATAAATGCATTAGAGGCGACCATAGGTATTTATCAAAAGAAAAATAGAGATAACTTAGTTAATAATACTTATTACTAGTATTATATTTATAAAAAGATTATTTCTGAAATTATGTAAAGATAGTTTATACTCCCACCCCATGTAATATCTGTTTATTTTTATGAAAATCATAATGATAACCAGGTACATACCTAATTACCGATAGTAAAATATAGAAACAGGTAAATGGAAAGACTGAACATTTCATTTGAAAAGAAATCTATTATTACTACAGGTAAGGTATAGGTATCGTAGGTGCCAACTGACAACACTCATTAATCAATATGAATATAAGCATTTATTATTTTTATTATTAATTGCATTTTATGTTCATTTAATGCATATTATTTAAGTGCTTACATAGAGGTAAACACTAAATCTATTCAGAATATATAAAGTGTACATCTTTTATGATTAAGTATAATAATTATAACCTTAAAATCAAAAATACATTATGTAGTAGGCCACGGTTCCCCAAGTTGTCCGTATCTCAACAAATGCCTAATTAGAGTTTATGAATGATTCCGAACACAACTAGCATTTTCTCATTGCTGGGCGTTCTAGGGCATTCAATGTATGGGGAACGAGCAATGTCCTTTGAATCATGTTTTGAAAACTGAGCATAGAGAAAGATAAATATACCAAATCTGTGTCTATGATTTTTTCTCTTCAAGTGAAGGCTAAGGCAACAGTCAAACAGCCGCTGCCTGGGAAACAAGATGCATCAACAAGACACATCTGTGATTCCCTAAGCTCCCTAAGCGGAGGAAAAGAAAATTCCTACCTAAATCAACGAGGAAATTTAATTTCGAATAAAATGCAGTTTTTTATATTACTTTGGAAAAGTGCCTGATTGAGCACTCAAATCGATATGGAAAAAAATCAAAATTTAACACTTGGTAAATTCAACAGGGCCATCCATCACAGCAACTTAAAGTAACTGATTAGTTTCTGTTTTTATAAGTTGAAGTCGATTTTTATGTCGAATGAAAAAAAGAAACTAAATGTTACCAACCCAACCAATGAACTCGATGATCTCATAGCCCTAATTGACTTGCAAGCCTTCTATCATGCATGGTATGGTGATTATTGTCCTTAAAGGTTATCATTCTTGTCAAATTGGTGAAAACGAAATGGATTTTATTAAACCCCATAAAATAGAACTCCTTGTCAGTTGGTCATTCCAAAGTGGTGCACCTTAACAGTAAATATCCCTCACCCCCACCGCTAGTAATGAAAATGTAATAATCTATGTATTCCTCTAATATCTGACAATCTTTTTCAATGGAAACTCCAGGGTATTATATTCTCCTCAAGAACTACAGGAGAAAGAACAAGCATATAACAAGGAGATTCTCTCTCTATACACAGACCAGGAGGGACGCGTGAGATTATTACAATAAAGGTTGCAAGCCGCGCTCCAGTCGATGTAACCCGGCCGTGACTGAGGACAGATAGATTCCTTAACCTATAGTAATCAAGGTATTTCCCTAACTAACCCTGGGTGAACAGTGCAGAGGCACCGCGAGGTTGGACTATGGACTACCCATTTCCCCTTAAAACAGGTTGTTTCATTGAGAACAAGAATTAAAATAATATTCAGCATCACCAATATCGATCAAACTAGCCGTAGAACTCCTAATATCCACCAGATAAATCCTTGTGAATGTCTAGAATTTGGAAAAGTCTATTTTTGTGGTCTCTCAATTGACAGTCCACTGCAGAGTAGGTAAAATATATTAGATATAGTTTAAGAACTCATGTAAGTATATTATAATTTGTTATGAATTTTTAGTATTTATACAACTCCATTTTTATGATATCTTAATAACATTATCTTTATTTCTTTTTTGGTTTCTTTCTTTGTTTCTCTTGTGCTCTGAGGTAAACTAGTGGCTGGTTAGGTGGTGGTAATTTAGTGGTCTACTCACCTCTCCATAGCGATGATCTGTTGCTTCTGGTGTTGGTAGTGATACATATGGGCGGAGTGTGCTAGTTTCCTGTCTCCGGTCATGTCTATCGTAGGACCGGTCACACCGTAAGCTGGATAATCCACGTCTGCTGCGGCCTTCGCTCTCTTGGTCATCCTAACCACGTAAATATACTTTTTGTAACGTACTGTGTGAGAAATGATATGACAAAGAAAGCAGCGCTTAGATGACAGATATCGATAGTAATGAAGTAATAAACATATTTCACGGACCCTAATGAAATGAAGACCAGCGCATGTGAATTAAAAAATAGAAAAAAAACCAAATCTATAATCCTAGGTAAGAAGAGAAACCCCGTGTTCCATATGCTGATATAACATTGGGCGGATAATTGCAGCCCAGACGAGCAGTGGAGGGTTTATAGAAGCTAATAAACGGAAGTATAAAGGTACATCATTTTCCACCTGTGATTGTCGACTTATCATTTAATATTTGAATTTAAAAGAAAAAATATATCAAGATATTATGACATGCTATTATTAATTGTTTGAAATGTGTTACTTACGTGTACCAACCAAATGCAAATCCTATTATAGTCAACACGAGGGCTGTACCCACAGCAGCGATAACAGCAATTCCATAAATCGAGTCAGCAGGGTCGTTGGGAGCTGCTTCCACCATGTGGATCGATCGAGGTTTCTCCGTCGTCCCAGAATCTTCGTGCAGGCTGACCAAGCAAAATATTCAGTACAAAACAAATTTTTCGCATAGCGCATCAGTTTCTAATAAACGGGGACTTATTCACGACCGAATCTAATGTAGATTTTGTGCCAATAACGTCTCTAGAATTTGTTCTTCTGTGAGCTAAGAATTTTGGGTACCCGAATCTTGACGGGTTGTTATTACTCGTGCATATGACCCCTAATCTTCAAACGGTGCATTTGCGGTATAACTGAGAAGGCGGAAAAGCGAAGGACAACTACAGACCAAATTTTCGCTAAACATTGCACGTGTTAAGAGATAATAATAAAGTAGGTAATGATGCTCAAGTAAACTCGCAAACAATAGGGCGAAGAATATCGAAACTTGTATTAGAAATAAGCAATAAATAACCAAACCATTATCGCAAGGATATCAATGTAAGGTGAAACTGCCAGTGACGTGATTCACGTGATTTAAAAAGTAACTATTGTTTTAGATTTTTATTTTAATTAATAATTATTTAGTGATTTAATATGTATTTAATAATTATTCTAATTTGTGTTCGTTGCGGAGTAAAAGTGGAATTATTAAGACTGTGCGAAATTTCACATATTATGTAAGAATAAGATAGGTACGTAACAGTTGCAAGCTTGTTAGGCACATAGAGGACCTTTTGAGAACCTTTGAACTATGAGAACCTTGTTTTACTATTAATAACGAATTATTTTTGTCGTGGAACTTGTCTCGAGTACCAATTATTTCGGGATCTTAACTTGTGTTTCCATATTATAATTCAAGGATGATGAATTGTTGATACGATAGGTAGGTAGGTTTTATCATGAATAAATATTTTCGCATTTGTCATTATGATGCACTTTGAAATTAATCGTCTTGTGAGCCTTTATACAAAATCTTTGTTCTGAATAAAGACTTCAGGTTCTTTGAATCAAGCTTTGTTCGAAACGTTTAATTTATTTATGTGTTTAAAACACCTTTTACTGCAGCCAATTTATATCGATCGTAATGGGGTAATTGTAAGAGATAGTTGGTGGGCATTTAAAATAGGAGTGTAATTATGCAAGAGGGTTGGACTGCTCTGGTGAATCAATTATGTACGAATGTAGAGCAGCAACCAATTTGCCACTCACGCTTGAGTTAGACAATAAAGAAACAAATTATTGGATTTAATTTTTTAATGTTGACACAAACAATGATACTTAGGGCTCTTTTGTAATTGTAGATACATAATTAAATAACTCTAATACAAAAAAGATAATAGTGACGAAATTTACCTTCTTAGGCATCTAAAATATGCGCAGATGCAGAAAGTTTTTAAGGAAATGAACCTTTTATGCATAAATTTTCAAGTGTAATAAGTAACACAAAATAGGACCACGTGAATAGGTTTTAAAAACAAAACCAATTTTCAACTGTTGGAGTACACAGTATGAAATATTGGTGGCTGCGATATTTCAAATATTCATTGGTCAATAAGTACTCTTGGTTCGTGGTGTATGCGGTTAGGTTTCAAGCGTTCGCTACCTTCCATGCAATTTATCTTTAACTGTTCTCCTTTTAACTAAAAGCAAAGTTAAAGAGTGCTATAAAAGTTTTACGGCCCATTTAAGTAGCACTACTAGTTGGATGTCAACATAGTTTGAAAGTTCGGTTGTATTTATGTAGCAAAGTTAACGTATATAGGTACTATTCTTATACGAAACTTTTGATCAACTCACGGCATTTTTGTCATTTCATCAAAAAGCACATATTTGTAATATTTATTGTCAAAGTTGTTAATAATTAAAGTTTTCAGGGAGGAAGCACTACTTATTTCTAATTATTCGTGTTTAGATAGGCATAGAAAATTATTATGAATTAAAGGAATTTAAAACAGATATCCGAATTTCATTCACGTAGGAACTCAATATGTGCACAGCGTGAGAAAGAAAGGAAAAGAAATAATTACTTACGAAACGAAGTTGTAACATAATAACCTTTAAACTACAGTTTGTGGATCTAATGCGAGAAAAGTTAAGATACTTGTGGTTTCCTAGTGATCGACGGGAAACGTGTTTTATTACGAATAAGGTGCATTTAGATCACTCTTAAGACTTGTGCTGCATGTCCGTAGGTAGTCTTTAAAGGGAAAATCTGGCCTCTTCTGGCTCAAAACCCATGCGCATCTAACATAGGATATTGATGGGAGCGGTGGTGGGAGTGTTTCTAAGTGATGCTAATGATTTTAATTTCACCTCTTCGCACCATCGGGTTGTTTAATTTTCAACCACTCCAGATTAGTAGGGAGTAAGGAGACAGGTAATCGATACTCCTTTGTCAACCTGTAAAGATTCTACAATGTCTACTTCTGCATGGAGGTGGTTGAAGCTTGCTCATCATTGTTTGTTTCCCTGATTCCTTTGCAATTAATTTTTGAGAAACGTAAAGTTGATTGGTAAATTAAAGGCATCGGGAATCATGGAACAAACTAATAACAGCTGTTCAACAGTGCAGATACTGCAAAAGGCGAAAAAGTAAAAAAAACTCGAATTATTGAGATGCAGCTGCATTTGCATGTATACATACGTAAGTATATAATGAAATTATAGTACTTGTAACTTAGAATAATAAAGGATTTGCAAAAACTCACACTTGAAATATGCAATTAAGAACGCAAGTACTTACATCGAAGAAAATAGCATATTTCAGACATCAAATAAATTATGTTTTATAAATAACCTTTGACTTTTAAATTTGTTCTTCTTTAGTAAGAGAAGCTAATAAGCAAAACACTTTCAGTCTTACTATAGGCTACCAAAGAATTGCTTGCTATTAGCTTACCCAAGCATTTGCTCATAGGTAAGTATATCATTAATTTGAGATCTGATAGGAAATTTAATGAAATTAAAATTGAAATACATATCAATATTTACAAAAACGGCTTTCGAAGGTAGCTCGATAAAGTAAATAAAATCATAATTCTGAAGACGCAGCCTGAAAAGAATGCGAAACGTCGTAAATAAATCAGTGCATCTATACCGTTGAAAATTATTTTAGTTAATGAGTGGTGTGCGTGAAAACCTAAGTAACAAATATATATTACTTTTTGAAACGACTTAAGAGCAAGCGTGTATTTGCTATACAGCTTCAGAGTCATCTTTACTTCGCTCACCTGCTTAGTAATGCTTAACTTCTTTAAAACTAGGAATAGCGGGGCTAAAAGTCCATGTTTTTTTATTTTAAATTGATGTGAGATGCTACGCGATTATTTTTATACGAGGCGAAACAATTTCCCCACCCCACGATGTTATAGTCGTGGCATGATATGATGACCGTTTTACAATAGTAACTTGAAAAGTCATTTTGTTATTTAAAAAAATCTAATATAATCATCCGCATATCTCTTCAAGATTTTATATTTTTTAATTTAAACCAATATTTCAGGAAGTAGCTGATTAAAAAGATTAAATAAAACGAACATTATAACTCTTTTCTTACACTCAGCGATCATACATGCAGCAATACATAACTCAGCATTTGTATTTTACGTAATTCGTAATGTGAAAAAATATCATTAAGATCGCTGCATATAATCAATAAGTTTACTTTAATTTATTATATTATTTGTATGAACAGTTTCGATTATAAAAATACAAATAACATGAAAATGTTTCCCATCCTCGCCTTGCAGGCCTGAACCCCGCGAACCCTACCAACAGAAACACAACACCACCAAAAGGTGGTGTTATTTTACTGTGGTCTTCTGTGAGATGGAGGTTGCTTACGCAGGCGGGCGCTCCAATTCTATCGAAAAACCTGCTGCTCAGCGGGTTTTCCGAGGTGTTCGCAGAGGTAGGCCTCTCTTCAATTACAGCGTGCGTCGTGGAAATCGAAACAAATACCTGAGCAAAATTGCACGCGTCCAAATATAAGCAAATTATAACTTAGGTTATGGTAATATATAATGAATACCATATTGTTGTAAAAAACCAGCAACAATAAATTATAATAACTAGAATTCATTGGATATAGGAAGAAAAATACATAATTATATAGGAGCCCGATCCGCCTGTCCTGCTGCGATTGTTAAGTACTATATTTGTCACGTTTCCTGATGAAACTATTTTAGTCGGGACCACTGAATAGGTAGGGATAATATCGCCTAGTAATATTTTAGCCCCGTTATACCTATTTAATAAGTATGAAATGTCACTGTTAATATTAATACTTTTTCTTTCAATCATAAAGAAAACCACACTTAGATTGCTTTACATACAAAAACTGGCGGTCTACCCCGGATTTGCACGATCAACCTTATTTTAACGCGATCAAATGCAAGCAAATCATGAAACTCGGCGTATTGAGTTGATTCCCTCGGCGCAATTTCTTTTTTTACAAGTAATAAGGAAATATAAAATTTGCATATTTATCGAAAAGGGAAAAGTTTTGGGCGGCCGATTTCGTAAATATAAAAAAACTTACTTATATTCATAGTAATATTTGGTAATTATATACTGAATTGTGTTCTCAAGAATATTTGACACAGATGCAGGCACATATACAAGTGGTCTGACCAAGCTAGAGAACCCGAGGTAGGCAGGGTTGTATTGGTGAAGGAGAATGATCTTCCACCATCCAGACGTCGAAAAGTTCTTCCCCGTACCACCCACCGCCACCCTTGAGCCGGTCACCGTACATGAGGTGCACTCGTTGATCCGTAAACTGCGCCCGCGTAGCACCCCCTGGTCAGACGGAATCTTTAGGAAGGTCCTTAGGATCTTACCCGCCCAACTCCTTTGCCTTATCACCGTGATCTTTAACGCGGCTATGATAAACACGCTTTTTCCCGCAGAGTGGAAAGAGGCCAGTGAAGACGGCGCCTTACCCTCTAGCTACCGCCCTATAAGTCTACTCAAAATGCGCCCGCGCTAGCCGCCTTAAAGATTTTCTCTTCGCGAATAATCTCATTATGAACGAACAGCTTGGTTTCCGTCCCAAACACTCGTATGTCCACCAGGTACACCGCCTAATGGAGCACATCCTCCACTACCGCAATCTATTTCGAGCCTCCGCGATTCCCACAGGTGTGCTTTTCTTTCACGTGGCGAAAGCATTTGACAAAGTGTGGCATAATGGCTTAATTTATAAGCTATTATAAGCTATAAAAACGGGTTGCCGGGCAGACTCGTGCTCATCATACGGGACTTTTTGTCGAATCGCTCGCCTCGCCCTATACGTACCGGCGTCCCTCAGGGCTCGCAGCTCTCGCCTATCCATTACTCGGTCTTTACTAATGACATGCCCAAGACTCCTAAGGCCAATCTCGCGCTTTTCGCCGACAACACCGCCCTCTATACCTCCGATAGACGTCTCGGAACAGTCTGTAATAGACTTCAATCAGCCGCTACCACTCTTAGCGATTGGTTCCGTAGATGGTGTATCGAGGTTAATCCGGAAAAAGCGTCGCGATCCTTTTTAGCATGACACCGCCTCCCACGCATTCTCTTCCGAGCATCCAATGATTTGAATCTCAAAGAAATATATGAAAGACGCCTCGAGACGTTACTTCGATAAAGCCGCGCATCATCCGAACCCCTTATTAGTCAAATCCTGTTGTTATCACACGTCCGCCCTCCCGTCATCCAATCGTAGGTCCCTCCGATTCCGTCGGCCTAGGCACGTCTTAGAGTACCCCGACGACGAAATCACCCGCGCCAACGCGCCTCCGACTCCTCCCACACAGGCCGCAAACACCAACACTACACAGCTAGCATACTTGCACATTAGCTTAGCATAAGGCAGACACCGCACCTTACCACCGTAAGATAAGAGTGCGAAGACCCGGTCTACACCCGACACGCTATACCAGGTACAGGTACGTACCTGGGCGTTTTTCCCCGCGCCCCACGACAACCGCTAACTAGAGCCGAGGTCCGAGTCTCAGAGACGCCCTCTAGTTGAGCTGACCCCCTCAGGTTCGAGTGGTCTAGACGCTCCAGACGGAGAGGAGACTCCCCCCGTGGGCAAATGCCATCCGCCTGGAATACCTCTAGAGGCACTTGCCAATTCTCGGCTTGAGGTCCCCTTAGGATCTCGCCGTTCCCAAACCCGGTGACGCTGTAAAGGTCATCTGCGACCAACAGCATATACAAAAAAATAACGTTCCATAAGTTGGTGTCTTGTTTCTGCTATTTGACGAACACAAGCACATTCATGAAACTAAGGCCATCTATAGATGATTCTGAATACTAAATAATATACAAACTTAACAAATTAACTTACATTTTGTATAACAAATCAAGAAAAGAAGACAAGGAAATCAGAATCATAATATTTAGTAAGAAAATAATTTTTTTTTTGCCTATTTTTCGTAAATCGGCACTTCAATCCATAACCATTTAAATAATATTAAAATATACTAAAAGCTACAGAAAATAACTTCCATTTGAAATTGATCTAAGAATACACATAAAAAATATTCTCTACAAGCTTTTTTCAAAATATTTTGACTTCCTTTTTTACATCTGCATTTTGGGGTCACTTGGAGCACTATGCATTTTAGTGTATGTACCTACTGGAGATATTAAAGTAAATCCAACTAAACTTGTTTAATATATTCTTTTTATTGAAAATATAATACCGAAGTATTTAAATTGGTCATCACGCCATAACTTGAAAACGGTTTCATCGATTTCAGTCATCTTTTTTAACTTTTCGAATAGTCTGTCCTCTAAAAATGTTGAAAAAGTAGCAATCAAACGTAAATGTGGTTTTCGATTGAACCAGAACTTGGGCAAAGTTAAAAACAGGTATTTATCGCTGTAAAAGTTACTATGTTTAGCGTAGGCAGTTTGAATATTACACACACTTTCACAGCGACACTTCATGAGGAGCTGCGTATCCATCGTTTGCATAGAACGCAGAAATGTAAAGTTAAATGATACAATGTTAAATTAAAACAATATATGTAGATATTATAATTATTCGAGTGGTGCAAAATGAGTTTGTAATGGCCTATATTTAAAACTAGTGAGCTAGAATACTTACAGGCCGGATCTCAGTTGATCTAAATGTTCGGCGATCAAATGTTTTGTTTTACTAAGATTTGGATTCTGTCGGGTTTGGCGTGGAGTTTGCAGCTCGATGTGCATCAGCCCGCCTCCCTCGTGGTGGCCGTCAACTGACTTTGTTACTGCTACAACACAATGTAAGCCTTGAGCGCTCCAAAAAATAAATACTTACAGCAAATTAATCAATGTGCACTACGGAGCTTACCTACCAGAGTCAAGCCTAAGTTGATATATAACAAAAACGGCAAGCTGCCGTCTCCAGGAAGCCATGTTTATATAAACTATTCGGTTTAGGGACTTATATAAGGTGTGTATCTCATGCACAGCTACTCTTAATTTCTTTACAATGAATGACATGAACCTAATACTTACGCTTATCTCTATGAGTTGTCAAGGAATCGAAGTAGCCTTTATCAAGAGGTGTTAGCGCAAAATTCTTTCTATGGTCGATGTTTTGACCAATCAGAAAGGGATTCACTACTTCCTGAGAGTTTCTGTAGCTTTGTGAGACGTCCGGTGCATTATAGCCGATTGCTGGTTGAATCGGGGCGTATGATCTTCTGAGAACTCGCGAGTAAGGGTCATCTTGTATGTTGGTTGGACTTTCGAACATACGCACTACATAAGGTTCACGATTGAAGATCCGAGCCAGATCCTTCTCATAGGACCCGGGCCCTGCCGAGTCCGCTTCATCTTCCATTCGATTTATTCGATCTATTTCCTGTCAACAAAAATAAGTTTCTTTATCATGCTCCCGTCCCTCTTAAAATTAAGGCTTATTTCTACATTTTAGATATAAAGTAGGTAGTAAATAACACCTAAATATAACAATTTTTAGACGGGACTCTTTAATATTTCACATATTCCCGATGTTTCGAGTCTGAGGCTGGGGATTCTGTATTCATATTTAATCCTTAATTGTAAATAATGGTAGGTTTAACTATACAATGATGAAATTACAATACATTAAAATAACACAAACTTAAAAACTATATAGCTTAACTTACATAAATAAATAATTTACAAAATGAAAAATATATCACCCCCAGCGCCGCCATCAGGAATGGTGCCCAATAGGCTGGCAGCATTGCCGCGTTGGATGGCAAGGCTGATCCGTAGACCAAGATAGCTGCCAGCCTTTTGATCACCAGTCACTTCGGTGAGCCTCATTGACAATTCCTTAAAAAGAGAACGAGCGCTTGGTCCCCATGGGCCCATAGTCTCAACACCAAACGGCACAAATATGTAGCTCTCATTGAGAGCTGAATATTTGCACCGCTTGAAGCACTCGGCAGAGGCCGCCGCCGCACTTGCAGCTAGGGAGGTACTATCTGTATGGCACGGAGCAAGCGTATCCACGCAGGTTGCGTCCCATACAAGAGAACGACCCTGCTTCCAAGGAATGAGTGTCATCCCATTAGGTCTCTTGCCATCGTCACGGAAGATGCCATTAGGCTCAAGGTCCGCTGGTACGTTGACAGCGATAAGATCCCTGCGGATGACGTCATTGATGTAGGCGTGGCGGGGGATTTGGCCAGCGCTCATTTGGCAAGAGAGGCCATGGTGTCCCAGCTCACCGACGCGAGTACCGCAACGACAGCGATGGGGATGATTAGTCTTGACGCCAAGTCTAAGCGATATAGCAAGAGACAAAGTGTTCTTGTCAAGCAAAGTCCAGATATTGGCTGAAGGTAAAGCTTGCAGCCAGTAACCAGACTCTGCCTGAAATACCGCTAGAAGGCGAGCACGCTCTGTGGCGCTTTCAGAGGATGCTAAAAGATCACTCTGAATACGCAAACAGAGCGGCTCGCCCCACTGCCTCTGAGACGATAAAAAGGATGGTGGATCCACTCCCGGGCATACCCTAGACCATGCGCATCTGGTCTCTGCAAGGTGAGCCAGCTCCGCTACGCCCAAAGAGGGGCATAATATTTTATTATAGAGTTCGGCTGTACCGTATGCAGAAGACAGAAAAGCGGGAAGGGCAATATGGGAAATATGGCGGGTACCTAGACCTCCGAAACGAACAGGGAGAGAGGCCTGCTTCCAAGCATTATCGGTAAATGAGCAATTTAGAATTTTGGAGAGTGTCTCTTTGAGTGAACTGTCAATAATTGAGTTGTCTTGGCCAAAAAGCCAAAAATGAGTACTACGTATAAATATATGAATTTTGGAGCGAAAGCGCAAAAACGAATCAAGTATAAGGTCATGTGGGGATTAATTTTTAACATTTTTTCGGAGGACTGCTGGAATTTTGAAATTTGTTCATTAATAAAAATAGGGATGGCGTCATCAAAAACCGGGGAATCAAGGAGACGGAGTGGTTTGGTATCAAGAATTTTTATATTAGGAGCTAAAGTCGAAAATTTGGTAATAATGTGTTGTAAATGTTCAGATGAGAATTTTGATTCTGGAATAAATAGCTCGCATTTTGAATAATTTAAGCCAAGGCCAATACTTTTGAATTTATTAATAATGAGTTGCAAATCGGAGAGAACGGTTGAAATATCGCCAGCGATAGTTCCGTCATCAAGGTACCACACATTAAATTTTGAATTTAGAATCGAATTTATCGATAATAGGTTGTTATAGCCAAACTAAAAATAGCAGACCCGAAAGGATCGCCTTGCTGACAGCCGACAAATGAATACAACAGGTTATTTTTTAAAAGAAGTTTAGTTGGTTTGCTGTAGCATTGCCAAAGATAATTATAAATAGTAGGAGTTTTTTGTTGAATTGCTGAGAGCAAGGCACCTCTATCCACGGAGTTGAAGGCATTCTTAACATCCACCTTGAGCACTATCTCCGCTGCGTCAAGCGACAGATAGGTGCGAAGAGCGTGAACAGCTGCTTCACAACCACCCTTTACGCCAAAAATCAAGCTGAACTGGTTGGAATTTGCCTGAAACAGTGGGTAAAATTTGCAGACAACAAATTTTGGATGCTATACGGCGAAAGGTGGAGCCAACATCTATAGGGCGAATACCACCGTCTTTTTTCTTTAAAGCAATTAAGTTGGCTCCGTAAAAGATCTCAACAATATCTTCTGGAACTTCGCCAGATAGCATTAAATTAACCATTGATATTATGTAATAGGGCTTTGCCAGCGTCACCGACTGAGACGGAAATAAGGTCTTTAAAATATTGAGGTGAAAGCCCATCTAGACCACTGGCAGAGCCGCTTTTGAATGAGAATATTGCAGCTGAGATGTCAGCTTCTTTGCTTATTAAATGAGCATTAAGAGTTGAATCAGGGGGCGAAGGTAGGAGAAGATTTTGTGCTGGAGGTGGGTGCTTATGTTCAAGAGCACTAAGGGTCTCCTGGCAGTTGACAGCGACAACATCATTACTAAACAAAAGGTTGGCGGCTCCTCGGAGATCACCATCGCTAATTTTTGACTCTATTACTTTGGTGGAATAATTAGAATTTGGAGGCCGAGAGGGAGGAATGACAAGTGAATAAACGGAAAGATTTAGGCGGCAGTTCTCCTTTATTTTTTGCGTTAGAGAAGTACAAGTACTATTTTGGTTAATGTGTAAAATTCTAAAGGAAAATGTTAGAAGTTCTGCCCAGCTCTCAGACGTGTTTACTCTTAATACATGCTCGATGCATTGTGATAAAGAAACCGCGACTGAAGGCCGTGCAGAACGGGGGATTCTCTTTAAGACGGGAAGTGAATTTTTGAGATTGCCAAGAATTTGCCAAAGTGGTTGGTTGCCAGAATTTAGAGATGGAGGAGGAGAAACTGCTGGCACAGAGGCAGGGGTTTCATGAGACCTGCCAATGTGTATTTTTAAGCCACGGTTACCTTTAAAAAACCGGTGTTGTATGTACTTGGCGCACTGAATGAGTTGTACGTCGTCATCGCCGAGTATTATGATTGCCGACATGCACGTAGAAATTGTGTCAAAACCAATAAATAATACACTAAACTAATAAAAAAGCATTTGAAAAACACATGAATAATAAAAATAAACACAACAAATAAACACAACACATAAACTCAGTCAACATTTTATGATGGATCGACGTCACAAAGCCAGGCACCACACGTCCGTTGCTATGCTGCCGGGTCAAGTAAAGCCACCCATTGGCTGAGCAGCAGTGTGAACGCCTAGCAACTGCGGCTGGTTATGGCGTCCTTGGATACAGTCATTAGACAAACAAACCACATACGATGAGACTCAGCTTGCCCATATGCAGGGACAAAGTACCAGCTCTGAGCTCAAAAAGAAGACAAATAATATTTTTATACTTTAAAATATTTTCAGCTCATGTCCTGACAGGGCTGTCATTTTTTTTAACATATACCATATATAATAAATGTTATTAAAAACATCTCACTTAATCTTAGTAATAAGTTTTATTAAATAAAAACTTTTTTTGCTCACTCTACCTATTTGGTTTGAATTGACAGCTATGACGTCACAATATGGCGCCCAGTCGGTCCTATTCTTAGTTGAATCGCATTATAGGTACAGGAATTTATAACACATTGTTCATGCAAATCAAAGACACTCGTATTCACATTACCTACCCACAAATTCCAATATTATAATTGTTAAATAAATTTGTTTTTTAGTAAATAATATTAATCAATATGTTCACATTATAGTAAACTGTGTTATATTGTACTACCATAGATGAATGATTGGTAAAGCGAGACCAATCATTTATCTATGTGTACTACATTCAAAGAGGTGGAGGGCTGATAAACCTGAGACACGGGTTTTTTCCTAGTTTAGGTGATAAGTGACCGTTTTACTTAGTGTTTCTAATGGAATAAGAAACTGATTTTTGAAATTAAAACAACATTTGTAAATAAACACTAACAAATATTGTTGATTAATATTGATTGATATTTTATTTTCATTTATTGAGCTTTGGCTAGAGGTGTTCAAAGCCGCTATAAAGCAATAGCGTGCTGCAAACTATATGCTTCTTTAAAATAGCGCGCTAATAAATCTGCTATTTTAATAGCGCGCTATTTACTTGGAAGCTTGTGGCGGTCCGTTGGCGCGTTGCAGCACGCTAGATCTCGTTGTACTTTATTATGTATAGCGTCGCGATCTCGCAGGGTACCGGATTCGATCCCCGGTCGGGTCAACTTATAAAATTATTATTTTTATATTTTCTTTTATTTATTTTCGCACGTCTAGCTGATTGTAGTATTGTCATTTTTTCTGATTTGCTTAATACAAAAGCTTTATGTAACTTATTTTGAATATCAACTATGTATGTGATGTTCTGCAATATTTATTTATTTAGATATCGTCTTTTATATATGTGGTTGTTAATAGTTTATTTCTTGGTCATTATCGTTAGATAACTTCTATCTAATCTTCATAAATTAAATACATATTTCGTTCTTTTTTATTTCTTTAGTGCTGCCATCTATCGCGAATATGCAGCATTTTTACTGCTATCTATCGCAAAAGCAAGGCAGGGGTTTTGTAAACAATCAAATCCCGGTTTCGATCCCTGGTTGGGTTAACTAATAAAATCGTTATTTTTTATTTTCTTGGGTCTAGCTGATTGTTTTATCGTCGTTTTTTCCGATTCCCTTGATACAAAAGCTTCAGTTAACTCATTTTGAATAGTAATTATATATATGATGTTGTAAATTATTATTTAATTAATGATATCTTCTAATATGTATATTATGGTTTACTTCTTGCTCGTTAATCGCTACAAAGCTTCTATCTAAGCTTCCTAAAATA